AAAACTGCAGCATGTCATTTGGGAACCTTTGCACCACATAGTAACATAATTTTTTTAAAACAAACATTTTATTGAAGAAGATACTAACTATGTAATTTAAGCCATAGGAGTTATTGGAAAACAATGTTTTATCTACGTTTACAGCTGCGTCCTATGTAGAGCAGTTAGTGCTGGGAAATTTGTTGTTTTAGTGCTTTTAGACTTAACAGCATCCTTTGATACGGTGGGTCGTAATATCCTTGTATAATGTTTAGAACATGTTGAATAAAAGCTAAATCTCACCTGGTTTGTTGATACCTCACATCAAACTTTGGGGTTCTGCAGGGCTGCGTGTTTGGTCCATTTCTGTTCATCATGTGCTGAATGTGGTATCTGTGGTGAATCTTAAGGAAGCACATTTGTGTTTTTCATTTTTATTCAGGCTTTCCTTCCAGTTAAGATGAACAGCATGTATCCTGTCACATGAATTACCTGAAAAAAATCAAAACTGAATGATGTTACGCTTTCTGAACCTAAATGTAAACAAAACGGGTCATTTGGTGAGGAATCTCAGAATCAAATTCAAATTAGCTTTGAATTTACATCATTCTTTAATCTTTAATCCCATTTTGAGTTCATACTTTTAGTAGTACTATAATCCATTATATTTGGATTGGTTTGGTTTTTATTTTCATTTATTTTGTTTGGGTACTCTTGTCTTTATTTGCAGTGTTAACTGTGTTTTAGAAATTAAAGTTTATTAGTCTTTGAGAGGGCTTACTAGCCAATATGCCATTATCCTTATATTACTTGTAAATGGTCTCAAAATGACAATATTATTGTTTATCGGACAATTTATCATCCAGCAAAATTTGTAATTGTGAGAGGCTTAATGTTGTAAATTATATTGAATTATACCTATTTTTTTATTTTGTTTATGTTGTTTTTTTGTTGTTGTTTTTTAATGTTCTATACAAATATATTTTAAGTGTTATTGTTATCCAAGCATCCATTACAAATAATGCTTGCACAGAGATAACTAAATGATAAAAAGGGGCCAAAAATGAAAATCTGTCTGTAAAAACATTTTTGTAGGAACTTCGTAATCAGACTGTCTTTACGTTGATCTTCTTGTTCATTTTCACAGTACTCCAATGTATACTGCACAACCCCGAAGGTTCAGAGCCTCATTGATGACAAATCCCTTCAGGACGAATGCCTCAGCTACGTCTCCAAACAGGGTAAGGAAAATCGCCTGCTTGAAGACGACATTTTGACTGATTTCCAGAGGCTGACTGCAGTGTTTTGGGTCTTGGTCAGGTCAGAAGCGTGCCAGCCTCCGGGACGTGTTCCAGCTCTACTGCGGCCTCAGTCCTGGAACGACGGTGCGAGACCTTTGTTCTCGCTACTCGCAGCAGCTTCAAAGGGTTGATGAGAGGTCAGCGTATCGGTTCCTGAAGTGACTGTGCTGCCCTGGAAATGTCGGGTCAGAGTGACTGTTGTTGAACAAAGTGTGTGTTTTGTTTTTCCCAGGAGGCTAATCCAGTTCGGACTGATGAAAAGTCTCATCCGACGGCTTCAGAAGTATCCTGTGAAGGTGGTCCGGGATGAGAGAAGCAGACCGCCTCGTCTCTACACTGGCTGTCATAGTTATGACGAAATCTGCTGCAAAACAGGCAAGTTCAGCAGCTCTATTTAAACTCTGGGTTTGTTTGTGTTTGTACAGTTTGTGCAGTTCAGTTATTCATTATAGATTGGGCCATGCAGCTTGTCCTGGTACTGATACCCAATGTGGTATTTTCTCATAGTGTGTCAGCGTTCAGGAAAGGAACGCTGACACACTTCCTTGGTTTAAAAAAATTCTTGCTAAAGTTCAGCACACTATTTATAGCACAAATTTACAGAAACATTGCACTGATTACATATTCAGTCCATGACCAGTGAACACATGACTGGAACTGTGAGGGGAAGAATGTTGAGAAAATAATCTAAACTGAATAAAAATCTTTGTTATTAATAGTTTCCTGGTCTGTCAGGAGCCTGAAGAAAGAGGCTTCATGGCCTAAATCTGAGATCTAATGTTTAACTTCACCCTGAGGCGTGATATATTCAAAGTCTTGGAGAAACACCTGCTTGTGTTAAGTACCAGAGCCATTCATTGTCTCAATGTTGTCTAAAAGAAGGAACTCTTAAATAGCTGTTATTTGGCCAAAATCTCTCTCAAAAACCAAAAGATTGTTGGTTCTGGTTCAGTTCTTTTGGAAGTCTTAATTCTTCATCCACCCTGCGATTCAAAACCGAGCCGGATATGAAGGAAAGGAGTGCTTAAACAGAGTTAATGACTGATGCCGAATAAACATCCAAGCTTTGGTCAAAAATTATCCCAGCTGAATCTGACAGAGTGATAATCAGGCCTGGTTCTGACTCAATATCCAATGAGCTCTTCTGTTCTGTTTTGCTGAATTTGAACTCAGTTGGTCACTGAGTGTCCAAGCTTCAGGGGAGGAGACGTCACAAGGGCTGATCCACCAATCAGAAGAAGACTTTCATAAAGAATTACAAATTTCTTCTCCTTTTTATTTTCACTTAAATGTGAATATTTCAGATAAATAAAGTGAGTAAATTCAAAAAGCAGGGTCTAATTTATGATTTTAAAAGCTATTCATAGCAACCTAACTATGTGAAAATGAATGTTCCCTTTTTAAGTCATAAATTTGCTGATATAAACCAGTTAAATGTATTTAGTTTGGGACGAACAAAGTCTTTGAAATCTATCAGTTTTGAAACGTTCACAAAGTGTTGAAACACATGCAGACAAAAACAGCACAAATATAATTTGATGTGTCTTTATTATCACCAGGACTTTTGTTAACATAAAAAGAAGATAAAAGTGGGATGTTTTGGTGTAAAACAAACACAATATTTCAAAAAGAGAACATCAACCATGAAGTCAGTCAAATCCCAAATTGAGAATGACCAATCACTAGTTTTTGGCCTTACGCCCAAATTACTTGAGTTATACAGTACAACAAAATAAACTGAATTTAAGTTTTGGTGTGGCCTAGTCAAAGTTTGGATTTGAATCACATTAAAATGCTGCAGCGTGACTTTAAATAGGCTGCTCATGCTTTAAAACTCACCAGTGGGGCTGAATTAAGACATGAAGGGCAGACATAAGACTCAACAGTTACTGGAAATGCTTGATTATACATGTGGTAGCCAGTTATTACGTTTAGGGCTCAGTTATTTTTTTGTGTTGAACCAGGTTGGTTTGTATAGCTTTTAAAAATAATTTAATTCATCATTTAAAACTGCATATTGTATTTACTCAGTTTATCTTTGCTTGAAATTTAAACTTGGTTGATCTGAAATGTTTAGTGTGAAATAAAGCAGAAACAGAAGGAATTTGTGAAACTGGAAAATACTTTTATGCCGCTCTAAATTTCGCATTAAAGACCAATTATTTAGGCGGAGGGATAACAAAAATGTCAACAAACTGTCACCTTATACCAATTGTTTCACCATCAGAGCTGCTAATGTGATAAAATCAGGTCGCAAAAAATAATAAGTAATGCTTAAAGTGACAACTAACTACAGATTATTTTAAATTCTGATTTAGATGAATAAAAATATTCTTGTAAGATAGTCTCGCGTTTCTGGACAGGTATTCAGACAAACGTTTTTGAGTACAAAACCTATTGCAGTCATTTTGAACAGCTTGGGATGCTAGTTGCTTAACATAAGACGTTATTTTAACTCAACATGAAAGTCTTATATGTATTTTGAAGTATGTGCTGATTTTTACAGGGATTAGTTACCAGGAGCTGGATGAACGTTTGGAAAATGACCCTAATATTGTCATCTGCTGGAAGTGATGTTAAATGAAGCCACCTACCAAGAAGCCGCCACCAATACAGCCAAGAGCGAGACGCCTCAAACATCGGGTTAATTTCTGTAAATTTCTTTGCTCCGTTTTTTATTAATTATTTATTTCTATCTATCATTAAAAGACGGTGACTAACTTTTGCCTGAGTCTGGTTATTGTCTTCTCCTTGTTTTGTAAACAATAGTCCCAGAAGAGAGCATAAGCGGGTATTAACTAGAATATGTTAAAATTCGGTTTAAACTGTTTCCTACTCAGGTTTACTGTGTCCATTTTTTAACTGTTACTGTGTAAACCAAAATATGGCTATTCCTGTAACACATCCTGCTTACATTGTGACAAAAAGGTCTGTATTTACTGTAAATACCAGACAACATTAACCTTTGCAGCTATACAGAACCATTGGTACATGGCCGGCAGACTTGGGAATACTGAGCAGGAAATGCTTATATTTACAAAACTGTTGGGATAACTTATTGCTGCGCAGAAATTCATTTTAAGTGGCTCCTCATACCATGCCACAAGTTGGGTTGAATAAAAATAATGTCAAATAGTGGGATTGCATTTAAAGTCTCCATTTACATGAAAATTAGTCTTTTTGTTTTGAAACTTGCAGGGAAACAAGTAACTACACAATGTTTGTCTTTATAAGACTGAATAAAACAAAGAGTACCTTGATTTTTTTAAATTATTATTTTTTACTTTGATGGGGGTTTTTTTCAGGTTTTGCAGGCTGTAAAACTGAAGCTGGAAAAACCTCGGTAAACTGTAATAGCTTTGGTGATATACTTACAGATTAAACTAAAGAAATGGGAACAAATAAAGAAGCAGACAAAAGTCAAAGTTAAGTGTTAAAACATTCGGAAAGTATGAAGGAAATATATTGTTTTTACGATGAAAAAAGCTCCCTATAAAAATCTTTTTTCAACGCCATTCTTTAGAATGAAAAACACACTAATCAAGGCGTACTCAATAGTTTTAAGAAGGTTGAACTATTTAGAAAATACTTTCTACGTAAGTGCATGTGGAAAGCTCACTACTCGGAATTTGAACTTCGCCTTCCTTTTTGTACTCGTTGCCTAACAACGTACCAGCCAATCAAATCGTCAGCATTCGAGAAAACCCACCAGCATAATTGAGATAATGAGAAAACGGTCCAGCTTGTGATTTACATGATAATCTGGCGCCCCTTAGTGGCCACTACTGCAAACTGTACTTAGTGTACGGTTACCTTGACAACTACCTGTAGCTCTTTCCCAGTTGCTGGTCACTTTCAAAGAAATTTACTGAAGTAGCTGCAAATATTACATATTTACCGACATTTTGCGAGATAATCAAGACTATTAAAATGGATACATCGGTAGTGCTGCCGGTTGAAGCTGAGGGGTTTATTCAAAGTCTGGAAACCTTTTCCCTCAAAGAAGTGGGCTCTGTGAGGTAAGATCAGAAACTACCGTTAGCACCAGCTAATGTAAGCTAACACAAAGTTAGCTTACATTAGGAGTAGGAGAATACGATAAAGATCTGAAAAACTGCTGAACAAGTAACTCAATTTGCTTCATTACACATGTTTATAGAGCAAGGAAGATTGTAACTGTGACATGAAAGGAAATATATCTAGACTGTTCTCTAAAGTTGTACAAAAACATTTTTAAAAATCATTTTCATTCTGACACTCCTTGACAAAAGTTGCATAAAATCCCCATTCCTCCCCAAGAAGTAACCTATAGAGTCCATATGTGTGTAATTAAATTTTGATTGTTTTGTGAATGAAACACCATGTTGAAAGAAAGCGAATGGTTCAGATGACGTTCAGTGACTATGCCCTGAAAATCGAATGTTCAATGTTCAAAAATGAACGTTCACTTAGCCATGGAAGAAAACATTTGGTCAACATTTAAATATTTTAGTCTTATGGCTGTTCATTATTATTTGTCTTATTTTGTCTTCTTAAAAAAGTGTGCACTTCTGACTTTTTTTGAATTTATATCTGTTGGATTATATATGTCCGATTAGCAAATCCATGACGCACTTTAAAGAAAACATGAATATTCTCCTTCATGTTTATTTGTGGTTAGCAAGCAGGAAATTGGTGGAGTGTAACGTTTTGGTGCATTGTCGCCACCTACTGGAATGGAGTGTGGCTCGGGATGCTAGTAAACTAAGCAAAACCAAAGCAAAAATACAAATAAAAACAAACAAAAGAAAAAAAAATCCAATAATTGTGTCTCCTTGCGACACATCAACCTAAAATAATCATAACTTTTTTGGTAGTACTTCCCCTGAGCAGTCCAGAGTGACTCCCCGCCCCACCACCACTTCCGTTTCGCGGTAATAGGGATATAAATGAGACTGCCATTCCGCCATTTTTTCAGTGGACTGCTTGACAACTTGCCAAGCTTTTCTGCTTTTAACTCAGTTGGATCTACTTGTTTTGTAAGTCATTGGTTCCTATATTTCTTTCTGTATCATTCACCAGGTATATAATGCTTAATTGAGGAGCTTCCCCTTTACAGCCCCTTCTTAAAAGGCTTGTTTTGCGGCAAACAAAAGCCTGTAGGTGTTCATGAATAGCGTGAACCAGTCATGATTGAATTTGGTAGCTCTCTCTGCAAGTAGTTTCATGTTTTGCTGGTCACTGTTACCAACTGAGAGTTTCCACCGTGTGTTCCACCTCCATGTTCATTTTGGAAATGCGGAAAGGGTCATTCTGGTTCTTCCGGCTGTGAGAGGTGTAAACAAAATGGCGTCAATATTTGTGAACAAATAATGAAGAGGATGGAGATGAACACACAGGTCATGTGTAAGTGCTTCTATTCATATTGCTACATTATTTGAATATTAGCTTTGATAAATTTGATTAAAGTAATGACAACTTTTGTTGTATGTCATTTCAGATGACTACTTGAAGGCGAGACAGAGATATCGCTTGACTGAAGACGTATCAAACCTTGAGATGGAAGCAGAAGCTCAGCAGCGTAGGGGTGAAAGAAAGTAGATTTTTGTATGGCAGTAATTACCCGTTCCAGGAAAAGTATTCAAAAAGATTTATTAGTGTGCCTTCACTAATGCACCTGTAGGCCTAATAACAAGGATTGTTGGCTACAGAGAAAATGAGTGATTCATGGTTTCCTAGAATTTTAATTTCTTTGTATTGCTTCAAAAACACTTGACATCAAGTACTAACGCAAGTTAGCCAATACATCAGCTTGGAACAGGAAGGCGCCAGTGAGGAGCAGAAGTTTTGGAATATCATTTTTTTTTTTTTTACCATAAACTGAGCCAGTTAGGAAGATTAAATGCTGTAGGAGGTTTTCTCTTTTTCTTTTTAGGTTTGGTAGTTTGTGCCCCCTACCAAGGATAGAAAAACAAAGAAATGAGGGAAAGAATACAGGGAGCAAACGCAGTGGAACCAACGAGTTGCATACACTAAACATCTCAGCAGAATTAGAGAAGGATGGACAAAAACAAGGGGACCTGGAGGCCTGCTTGCACACACCACATTCAGATTACACACCAGTGTTTTACCAGTCTGGAGTTTATTTAGCCACTAGCCCTCTCCATTTCTTTAAGACAAATTACACTAGATGTCAAAGATCCAAGGGTCGGATCCTCTGATCGGTCCGTTGCAAAGACAAAACCAACAAATCTTTTTTTGGTTGCAATTTATTTATTTTTTTATAGTTTCTGTGTCTATGTTCACTTTTATACTCCTTTCTGTAGATGTTGAGGTGTTTTTCTAAGCAATGATGTCTGAAAATGCTGTTTATTTTTTTATTGTGAATGTCTTATTCCGACACCCATTGTATTGAAATTTAAGCTCGTTACCTTTTGTATTTATTGTTGTAATGAAAGTTTTACTAATGTCTCTAGTGTGCATAAAGTACAGCAGGATAAAGTGCTTTTGTTTCCTTCCCTCATTCTTTTTGCCTTGGTTGTCTTTAATATTAATACAGGTCATTCCTGAAAAATTAAGTAGTCATTTGCCAGGGTTAATTTTAAGTGGGTATAATCAATTTTCAAATTTAAGTCTGGATAAATCTGAAATGTCCTGGCAAAGTTCAAGCATCAGTTAAACTCAAAATCTGTGACGGACGATGTTCTTTCAGCCCGACTGAGCTGGAGATACACGGCAAAGAACGAGCAGAAATGTTTTTTTTTTTTTTTATCAGTCTGACAAAATTGAGCCGTTTAACAGTCAATATTTATTTCCATCTTGTTGCTATTTGCTTCGGGGGAAGGCGATTGGTCATGTGACAGTGATGCACTGCAGGATTGTTGGGAGTTTAACTGAAGCAACGTTGAAAGCTCAAATTTTCATATCGGTGCATCGAGATGTCTAAAGCTGAAGACTTGCTACAAAAGATGGCTGTAATCAACAATAAAAAGTAGTTTTACAGTTTTACAGCTTCTTTGTTTTTCTTTTCTTTTTAAATAAATTGTGATTGTAACTTCAATATGTGAAACTATTCAATGTTACTAAATACTTTTGCAGGACATGTTTTTAATATAAAAATACGTCAGTGATAGGGGATTGAAAAATACACAAAAAACCATTTAATTATTTTCAGCAGACAGGAACACACACCCCATTGATGTCCATTGTTGTTGTGCTAAACATTAAAATGCTGTTTTTCTGCATCAGATTGAAGCTGTAGAGGATTATTCCATATGTTGTGGTCATCAGAGGTGAAATGTGTACATCCTTCATAGTAACATAAACTGATATGTTGAAGAAAACACCCTTGAATTCATTCTTTTCTGTCTTTTGTTTTTTACATTGTGAAGACTGCAAGAATCAAACATGTTATCTGACATGTGCACTTCAGCCATGCAGGTTCTTTTCAAGATTATGCAAATAACTAACGAACTGGAAGAAAAGACTTCCTCCCCAAAGCTGTAAATTCCCAAAAAGCTCATTTATCTGTAAGAGAAACCCTTTGGTTAGCGATTCTTTCTGGCACAGTTTAAAATCTGCAGCTCGAAGCTTGTTAATGTGGTTCATTTTTTTAGTCTGCTGTGTTAATCTAGGTTTTTATTTACTTCATTTCTCTTTGAACGCGCTTTTCAAGAACCATCCCAGCTGCTGCCAAGCTGGAAGAAATTCCTGAACGCTGAATCAAGGCAGAGCTCAGCTACACTGGGAATACATTTTACAATTATGGCGTGAAAAGCAGGAACCAATTCCTTATGTATGGATTTGATTAAGAAAGGGTCTCATACTGCAGCTGTTTATAAAACATCCTCATTTCTTTTCCTCAGGTGGTTCAGACAGCACGAGTTTATTGAAAAGCTAAACATGCAGGCCATCCTGAATGCTTCGGCCATGCACGAAGAGTTTGTCAAGGAGCTCCTGGTGTCCTTTGGAAAGGTGACTTTGCATGTTCACAGCGAATGCACAGCGATGATACTGCATGATAAATCCCTCTCTGCAGATACCAGTTCTGGTCCATGAGATGATCCTTGTGGAGGTGTGGAAGCAGAAAGTGTTTCCCATCTTATGCCAGCTGCAGGACTTCAACCCTAAGAGCACGTTTCATCTTTACATGGTGGTAAGTTAAAGATGTGCAACATCTACAATCAGCTTCTCATGCTAGCTTGTTTATTTCTCTTTTTGTCTTTCTTAGATCCACCATGAAGCTACAATTATTAACCTGCTTGAAACAATATTGTTTCATAAGGTCCGTAAGTTCTCAAATATTTATAATACCTGCATTCTCTGAACTAAAAATGTATTTTATTTAGATTTTGTATGACAAACCAACACAAAAAAGTGTGTCGTGGTTAAAGTGGAAGAAACTGCATCTGTTTGGTTTTCATTTTTTTATTTCTAATGAAAATGTGAAAATTTGGTCTTTGTATTCAATCTCTGAATCACCTATTGTTGAAATTAATATTTTTTTTACTCTTTATTTACTTTCCAATAACTGTTTTACATGAACATAAACACAGACCCATCTTTGTCATCTTATTAGCATCTTGTTCATGCAGACCTTCATTTTAGGAAACTACGTTCTTAAAATGAATGTTTCAACCAGCTTTGAACATCTTAAGGCAATAATCCGTCTCCATTGTTCTTCATAAAACAGCTCAAGATGAATATTGTTATCAGTTGTTAACATACATTTTCAGCTGTTCTCCTCAGATTCTTAATTGGATTTACGTCCTGACTTTGACTGGGCCGTTCTATCTTCTGAATATATTCTAAAGTATTTCCACTGTGGCTCTTTTTAGAGTTGATATCCTGTTGGAAGGTGAACCCCTTAATTTGTTTGCAGCCTCTAACAGGTTGTCTTCCAGTTTTGACCTATATTGTAGTTTGACCAGAGCGCCTTCTCCCCCTGTGTTTTGGTGCAGGGTGAATCCTTTAGGAAGTCAGTGTTTTTGTGTGTCTGGTTGTTCAGGATTCCTGTGAGGCAGCTGATGATTCTCTCCTTGACTTGGTGGATTACTGCCATCGTAAACTGACCCTGCTGGCCAGTGAAGCAACCAAGGCCCATGCTGCTGCTGCTGCTCATGATCTTCAGAACCAGATATCCTCTCTAGAGGTAAAATCAGATGCTTCTCTCTGCATTCTGCAGCCTTTCCTCACTGCAGCACCTTTTGAAACAGAGGTAGAAGTCGCATGATTTTTATTTTGACCTAACCAAGGAGTTGCAGATGCAGAGTGCTGCTCTGGAGTTTGACATCTCCCTAAAAGCGATATCTGTGCTGAGCTACATCGCAGATCATACCGACAGGTAGGAATCGAGTTAAAGCTACCTGCTTGACCTCCATTTTTAAAAGTAAAATGAAAACTTTAAATGTCTAACAGATGACAGGCGGGGTGCAAAATACAAATGTCATTTTTTTTTCCTTCCCAGCATCAGCATCATCAATCGTATGCTTTGCACGCACAACATGCCCTGTGTGCTGGTTCGGCTGGTCGAGTCCTGCCCCTGGAGTCGGAGCAACAGAGGTGGATAACAACATCTGCAACTCAGATGAGCAGAGAGATATTATCCTCTGTTGTACAAAAGTTATAAAATCCTACAGCTCACCTTCAGACCTCTAAACACTTTACAGACTGATTGACCAATCTATCCATCTAATAATGAAAATTATTGAGCTTATATTCATTTACCATTTGATTGACTTATTTATTGCCACATTGTGAATACTTTTGAAAGCCTCTGTGTTCTCTCTGCTGCCCCCTGCAGGCCAAGTAGAAAAGTACATGAACGGCAAATGGCAGAGGATTCCTGCAGAGGACCATGTGAAGATGACTAAACTTGACGGCCAGGTCTGGCTGGCGCTTTACAGTTTGATCCTGAAGGAGGAGTGCCAAAGAAAATACGACTTCAACAATTTCAACAAGAACCAACTCCTAAAGGTCTGCACTGAAACAAACACTGGCTTTTTTACCTGTTTCTTCACGCTCAGGGAGTTGAGTGTCTAATTTCACAGGTTTGGTGAAAGTTAATGGTTTGGAAGTATCACTGCTCCAGGTTGTTGTTCATTACATCCTATCTGATCTCCTTCCCTTGTAGAGCACAGATTCGTTCACCGAAGGTTGTTTAGTGCTCAGTTTCCTCCTATTATAAGCTTCTCTTCCTGCAGCAGTAATTATATAACCAGAGAGCCTTGAGCATCCTCTTGTAAGCATGTTTTTTCCTCCTGACTCCTGCTGCTGCTGTGCTGTTCACAGCTCAGGGGTTTCCTGACAGATGTGCTGATCGATCAGTTACCGAACCTGGTTGAGCTCCAGCGTTTCCTGGCCCATTTGGCTGTGACAGACCCAGCCCCACCAAAGAAAGACCTGGTTCTGGAGCAGGTAGTCACTGACACAGACATGCACTCATCATCCCTGCTGCTGCACGCTCACCCTCTGGGTTTTATTTACGTTTAGGTCCCAGAAATGTGGAACCAGATTATCAGAGAGAATTCTGGGAAGTGGAAAGGAATAGCTAAATATCAGGTTAAAGAATCATTCAGCCCGTCTGACAGCGACTTGCAGCAACAGGCCCAGAGGTAACGCTGAAGACACTGTGAGGTCAAGGTGCGCACAGGAACAGCTCATGAGCCGCTGCTTTCAAAATGTTTTACCAAGGTTGGCGCAGACTTACAGCCTGGATGTGATGGAGCGTTTGCTCCCAGAGAAACCAAAGTGTGGATGCTGCGGGAAGGAGGCTCCAAAGAGATGCTCTGGATGCCAAGGAGAGTGGTACTGCAGCAGGTGAGACACAGCCCACACGCAGACTGCCTGGCAAGAATATTCACACACATTTTGTGTAAAAACACCACAAAAAGTTGCATTTTACTGAGCTTTTAATTCTTGCAATTAGTCATGACACAATAACAAATTTTGCTGGATGATAAATTGTTCCAGAAGTTTTTATGGTAAATGATAAATTATTGTTTTGAGACCATTTTAAAGTTGTATAATGGTAATGGAATAATAATAATAATAATAATAATAATAATAATAATAATAATAATAATAATAATAATTGAATTTCTAATGAAAATTTAACACTAGAACTGGAAGACATTTTAAATATCCCAAATAAATAAAACAGAAACAGCAATGAAGTCTCTGTAAACTAGACTGTCCTTCAAAATAAAGGCTAGTTGAGACCAAAGCATCAGACTGAAGACTTTTCTCATCCAATTTTTGGTAGAAAGACAGAAAAGAGAAAAATGATCAATCATACATGTTGAAATTATTGAGCTTGTTTTAATTTATCATTAACTGATTTATTGCGACAAGCTTTGCAGTAATTCATAATAATTACATGTTAGGCAAATTATATGTTTTTCAAATTTCTTTCAGAAATAAAATCCTGAAAAATGTCAACCTCCTTTACTCTGATACCCCTAATTAAAATTGTTCAAATGGGGCCCCAATTGTGTTTCATTTAGTTTATCTCAGGGGAGTTGAATACAAATGCATGTCACTCTTTTTGTTTTTATTTGTAATTAAAAGTTTGTGTGATTTTCTGCCTGCTAAGTTTTACCCTGTGTGGTGTTTGTTTCCTACAGACGGTGTCAGGTGAAGCACTGGCCTAAACACAAGCAGGCCTGTCAGCTCATGACTGAGACCATGCAGAAGGTCCAGGAAGACAAACAGCTCGGATAATTCAACTGACTAACGTTTAAAGCTAGAAAACAAAGCCGCTTTTATTTGTGTGACACTGAATCCCAACATTTTAGGTAAACTCATATTTTTCTAACAGGAATCCCTCACATATCTGTAGAGATTATTACTGTAGAATTTAGTATTTTGGTTTTAAACATGATGCAATAAAGTTTTAACTTGTTCATTTCGTTCAGTTTTTATTTCTTAACTCTCTTGCTCAAACGAGGGTGAAAGTGATGCTTTTGTGAAATACTTCAGAAAACTTTCTAAACTTCCTTTAGGAGCCAAGACTTGCTGGCTCACCTTAATGGCCGTTTCCAATCTGATCAGCAGCAGCAGATCGGTGGAGGTCAGGGTTCAGTCAGGGAGGAGAAGACAGGATGGACAGATGTTGAAATGTTTTTTAAGGCTCCAGGATTTTCAGACGTGAAATCAAATTCATCATTCGAGTGAAAATAAAGTTGTCCCCAATGTTTAACTTTATCTTCAAGGTTTAACATCCAGAGCTGTGTAGATCATTACCAACTTCAGCTGTGATCTCCACAGAAACAGAGACGCTCAGCCTTCAGCGAAACCACCACCAATTTTCTGTCAACAGCGGCTCTGCATCCCGGGACAGTTACAGTCAACATTGTCTCAGTTCCTCTTTTCTGGAGAAAAAGAGAATAAAATGAGCCAGCAGGGATTAGGACGAGATGAAGCAGTAAAAGTACTTCACTAGATTTTCTGTGCTTTACTTATTTATCTTTCTGATGACTTTTTACCTTTACTCCCTGTATTTTAAGAGAAATAAACACTTTCTACTCCTTATATTTTCACATATGCCTTGTTTCTTCCGTGATGAAAAAAAAAATCTGCCGCTTGCACAAGTGCATTATATTGCATGAGGAAAACAGCATGCATGGAGACTTTAACCTGAGTAACATCCCAAACAACGGAGGAGCACATTCAGAGACACAAGACTTTCCCCATCTGTAACCTTATTTTTTAAAAAATCCTTCCATTGGTTGGTTGGAAGAAAAACCGTATCAGTATTTTTTTTAGATTTCTCGACCAACACAGTGCATGTTGTCAGCAAAAGAGAAAAAAATAATGTTTTTGGTACGACTAGGACTTTTTACGTATTTCAGACTGATTAAAAGTCATTTTGTATTCTTGAAGGTGAAAATTACTTTATACTTTTAGGTAAGGTAAGTTTACTTATCGCACATTTTCAGCAGCAAGGCGGTTCAAGGTGCTTTACATGAATCAGAAGGAAATACAAACAAAATAAAAGGAAAGACAAAAAGGTAACTTATAAACTAATGGGTTTCTCTGGATCTGAAGTTTGTTCTGGTTCCGGTTACTTTTAGTAAGTACATTTCAAAACTTGTACTTTTTTACTTTTTCCTTGGTAAAACAGTTCAACCTGTACTTTTACCAGATAGCTTTTTGGTAACACTTTATTTGACGGGGTGTGCCTAAGACCGACGTGGCAGTAGCACAAACATGACATAACACCTGTTATGAACATGAAGGAGTCTTTATGAACGTCTATGGCTGTTGTCATGAAGTGTCATTCAGCAAATAATGACATTTTTAATGCAAAGTGGCATTAAAACCCCATTAAAAGTGCCCACTTTGCCTTATTTTTTATATAATGACACTTTAATGCAAAGTGGGCACTTTTAATGAACTTTCAATGCAACATTTAGAGCAACTTTGCACAAAAAATGTAATTATTTACAGAATGACACTTCATGACAACAGTCATAAACATTTATAAAGACTTCTTTATGTCATGTTTATGTTGGTGTCATGTCAGTCATATGCAAACCCCGTCAAATACAGTGTTACTAATTTTTCATACATCTGTTAGAGAATGTGAGTACTTCTGACTACCCACCTAGTAGAATAATACTCTTTGTTAGCATTTACCCTCTTTGGTTGCTGAAATGTTTCTTTTTTCGCAGGGGGGTTTCATATCTAAACATAGGCAAATGTGTAAGACTGTCGAACTGATCGCAGATAAACTTCATTTGCATTTTTTTGCTTGTGGCTTTCAAGCTTTTTCTGCTGCCGGTGCAAGCGAAACCTCGATCCGTCCCTCCAGAGACCGTGGGTTTGAGGGGTCGGGGACTTTGTCCGCCCACTCAGCTGCTGTTCTCCAGACGCAGCAGCCAGCAACCCCCCTACATGAAGACATTCCGGATGTCATCGCAGCACAGTCTCATCTTTCACTCTCCGTTTTTTCACCCGCTTCCTCCTTCGGCGGCTCAGACCGACTCTCAGTGATGTTCTGCCGAGGCTGAGCCCCGCTGTCACCGTCCCTCCTCCGAGCCTCGCGGTCCCGTTAGCCGGCGATGGTCGCTGATGGTCGGCTGGTTTCCAGAGATGTAGCCGGGGCAGCAACACCTCCGCCACTTGGAAACAGTCCGACATTTTTCTGCGGAAAGTTTTTTCTCTCCTCGGATGGAAGGAGTTTTGAGACAAAGCGGCAAACACGGCGTGGTTTTCTCCTCTGTTCTGGTAAGTTACCTCCTACAGTTTTACCAAGTCTCATATTTAAACCTGAATAGTTACAGATTTGTTCTTGAAGAACTGCTCTTACTAAAGTCTCTCATCAAAGCAGCATTCTTGTATTTTAATTTATGGAAAGCGTGTTGTTTACAGTTTAGCAGGTTATAGAAGTGACACGTAACTGTATCTGTTTTTCCTCATGAACTTTTTTAATACGTAAGAAATATGGGTTGAAAAAAAACGAGAACAGCGTATCCACCAGACTTTAGAAACAGCATAAAATCGTCATAATTAATTCATTGTTTCTTGAAGAAACTTGTTTTTCCCGTAAAAAAGAAAGAAAGAAAGACAGAAAGAAAGGAAGAAAGAGAGAAAGAAAGAAAATAAATCCCCCTTAAACTGAGTAGACTACATTTATTTGGGGAACTAAGATTTAAATATTTGTTTATAAGAAAATGCTTTGCTTTTGTTATTGCTACCTGTACAATTAATAAATGTAACCAAACTATTTTCTTGCATTATTTTCACAATGAATAAAATCTGACCATCCCTCTTCAAAACTGGCAAGACGGGAGAACAGCTTGGTGTGTTGATTTTCCTTATGGAAAATAGAAACTGGAACTGGGACAAGCAAACCTCACTGAGGACGGGTTCAGTTATTTTGCCCCAATGATTTTGTAATTAGTCGAGATTATTTGATCAATGCTACCTATTTCTGTCTCTCAACAATTAAAATGAGAGAATTTGGGTTAAACAAACCTTTGTTAAAGGCATTAAAACATTTTGTGTGTCTTTGTTTCTTTGAAATGTGAGTCAGTGTATTTTATGGAATTGTGATGAATAAATATGAGTTAAACATATTTCTTTCTTTCTTTGTTTCTTCCTTTCTTTTTCTTTCTTTTTCACATCTCTATTTATGTGCCAAACATTATGTAAACACTTCACTTCCTCCACATGTGCTACAGTCATGTTGTTGTGGCTTTATCAAATAAAGAACCAAAAATAAATGTAATAATTTCTTCCCTTTATGATTTGACAAAATTTCAGCAATATTATAAAGTTAAAATGAACGTGTTATTCAGGTCCTTGTAGAACAGCTGATCAGTTTTTCCATTAACATAATAAATAGGAAATGTTTTTGGTTTGTGATTCACGTCACCTTATTTGTGAAAGTTTCAGAATGTGAACATCACCTTTAAGAATATCATCACAGTTTCCACAGGGAGCGTTCATACTCTGGTTTTCTGTCGTGGCTTAAAGCAGAACTTCGTCCTGAGTGGCTTTTCTGATCTCACTGGCTGTTTAATATCAGACTGGGTGGATATTCATCATTTACGGTAAACATTTCTGATCACGATAAGAACTTTGTCTTGATAAATTTCTTTTAATAGTGTTAAATAAGGAACAAAACTAATAGTGTAATTATAAGTGTTACCTGTATTATTTTCTGTCTGTTGCACAGCAAAAAATAAATTTGAAAACATGATCAAATACCGATAAGCAATTCAAATCACAATCCTGAAGAAGCCTGTTTCAAATGGGAATGTTTTTCAAGAACATTATTTATGTTGTCAATCCTATGCTGTCATAAATAGTTTTTTAATCATAAGTTTTATCGTTATCACAATATTATCCCAAAATATTGCGATATAATTCTAAGTCCATGTTGCCCATCCACCCCTATATGAAACAATTGGATGTCTGATAAAAGACAGAGGTTCATTCACTGATTGTACACGTTTAATCATATGTATTTTTATGCTTTTAATTTGTAATAAAATGAAAAAGTGCCGCGTTAGTCAGGAATATCCATATCATCACCTTTATGGCTCCACCGATTGCAGCTTTCTGGCCGATTGCTGATTACTGATTACCGATCTTTAACAACTTGACCTGCCGATTCTGTTTTTGGTCAGTGCTATTTTTGTTTTTGTCTGAAATGTTGCTAAATATAGCAATAAAGTCGGTGAGTTGGCCACAGGAGGGTGGCTGTTAACTGCAAATGTGCAGACATGACCTGGTGGGTCGGTCTGTCAGTCAGGAGAGGACAGTGGTTGGTTTTTATGCCTTTGCTGAGGTAGATAAGATCAATGGATAAGATCAGTGTCACATTTAAGAATCGGCCTATTACTGATCTCCCAAAATTAAGGAAATTGGTGTTAATTTATTGGTGCTGTTTATTTATTGGAAATTGGTTCACCTCTGGTCACCTTCCTAAAATGATGGCCTTAGTCATTTTTTACCAAAAGTATTCAAATTCAGAAATACTTTATGAATCCCAAAGGGAAATAAAATGTTGTTGTAACTCATTAATTTAAATTTTTCAAAGAGTTATTGAAGATTGTGTCACTACCTCTTTATATCTAAAATATGTCTTAGGCAAAAAAAAAAAAAATCACCTTTGGCAAAAAATGACATAAGCCATTATTTTAGGAAGGTGATGATATGACCTTTTTTCATGTTTCCTCTTTTTATTTTTATTTGTATTGTGCACTTCACCAACAAATCAGTTCAAAGTTGGCATTGTTTCAAAAGCAACTCTCAACAGGTGGGTTGTTAGTCTAGATTTAAAGATGTTTCAGCTGTTTTGTGGTTTTCTGGAAGATTGTTCCAGATTTGTGGTGGTGCATAGAAGCTGAATGCTGCTTCTCCTTGTTTGGTTCTGGTTCTGATGCAGAGCATCCCAGAACCAGAAGGTTGTCTGGAAGGTTGATACAGTTTGCTTCATGTTCCTTGTACCTTTTCTTCCGTCAGTGATGACGTTGGAAGCTCACCTCTGACAGCCACCATGTCTTGGGGGGAGTTCATCGAGCTGCGGGACCTGAACTCCAGCAGAGAGCAGATAGAACTGGCAGGCCCGCGTTCGCCGTGCTCACCCCCACGCCTGGAGCGGACCAACGCCTTGAGGATCAGCCCGGGAAAGGTGCCGGACCTGCTGAGCCGCGTGGGCATCATCCGGGTCCTGAGCAGCTCCCAGGATCCCCAGTTTGTGGAGGAGAAAGGAGAGGGACACAACTTTCAGCCCTGCAGCCACGCTCAGCCAACATGGTGCGACCTGTGCGGCGACTTCATCTGGGGCCTTTACAAGCAGAGCCTGCGGTGTGTCAGTGAGTCCGTTTAAAGTTTTGGTGCATCTGCATGGTCAGGGAGAGCAACGAGATATTTTTCAGACAGTTTGTATGAAATATGTTTTTTTGTTATGACTTTTTAGGTCTGCTAAAAATGTTGTGCTATATGTAGGGCTGGACAATATGTCTGAAAAACCTATCACGATAAAAGCATTTCATATTGATCTATCGATAATTTTTGATTAGTTTTTTGGTTTTAAATATCTGGAATACTTCCAAACTGGTGGTGTGGATTTTCCTGTTTTATCCACAGTTTTCACTCCACACTGTTGTTTTTTTATTTTTAAGCAGTTATGAGACCTAATAGTGAAACCTTAAACTGCTGCTACGCAACTTACTCACTAGATTGTTGCTAGGTAACCAAAGAGTGAGTGAGTGAGTTGCTAGGTAACCAAAGAATGAGCGAGTTAGTTAATGCCACCCACTCTGCTTAGCTCACAATGAGAGGTTGAGCAGCCAAAGCCTTTTCTCTGCCTAACATCTCCCAGAAAGCTGTTCTGGATCAGAGTTCAGTGAAATTATTGAAAACTCTATCAAGCGTATCACATGTTTATCACAATGTATATTGTTACTGATTTATTGTCCAGCCCTCGGTACACAAAATAAAAACTCAGAACAAGAATAAAAACCTTACAGTGTTTTTATTGTAAACACTGTAAGGTTTACAATAAAAGTTACTGGCATTTTCCTCAATAACTTAAACTGAGGAAAATGCCATTAATTCTGCAGATTTAGCTTTAAACGGCCCCAGACTCTCAACACTTGTTATCTTTGTTGTTTTATGTCATGTCAACAAGACGGCATGCTTTTACATCTGTACAAAACACAATGTGTGACAGGAATACTAACAGCACATTCCCCTAAACCAGGGGTGCTCAAGTCCAGTCCTCGAGAGCGACCATCCTGCAACTTTCAGATGCATCCTTACTCCAACAGACTGGGATCAAATGGCTGAATTCCCTCACCAGCAGCCATTCAGCTCTGAACAGGCCTGGAAACGAGCCATTCATTTGATACAGCTGTGATGGAGTAAGGATGCATCTGAAAGTTGCAGGATGTTGGCTCTCGAGGACTGAACTTGAGCACCCCAGCCCTAAAATCACCTTCCCTACTGTGAAACATGGTGGTGGCAGGATTATGCTGTGTTGCAAGGTCAGGGAGGGTGGTCAGAGTTGACAGGAAGACAGATTTAGTTTTAAGTTGTGATGCATATATTACTACCTCATGTGTTCAATAGGGCTGATTGCATTAATCGTAATGAATCAATTATTGAAATAATTCTCAACTAATTTAATAATCATAATTAGTAATTGTTTACTAGAGCATACCAACTCGAAAAGGTCAATTGCTGAAAGGAAAACATATTCAGTATTTAACTAAGCCAAACATTTAAGGTAAAGAAAACTTTGTCTGTAAATATGTTCTATTTCCTTAAGTGGCATAGTTTTTACTTCACCAGGGTCGAATTATATACATAAAAAAAAATCCTACTACGTAGCTTTTGCTATTCAAATATTAATCGGTTAATCAAAAATAATAATAATCAGCAGATTAGCCTTACACTGTGCTGATGTTAAGTTAAGATGAAAGGTTGAGTTTTTTACCTGCAGATGATCCTTTGCTACGCTAAAGGATGCTATGTTACTGCATTTCAGTCAATAAAATATGTATTTTTTTATTTAAAAAAAATAATTATTTGTAATTTTTTAGGTTTTATCATATCTCATAAAATACACTTATGTGGATTAAAGAGAAATCTGTAGAATGTGACCATTTTTATACGAATAATTGATTAATCGTCACAATGATTGATTAATCTACAGAATAATCGATTACTAAAATAATCGTTACTTGTATTTCTAGTGTTCAGAAACAACAAAGAGAGCAAGGATGAGCGTTCCTTACAGAAACATGCTAACACTAACCTTTGTGCTTATTTTGGTTTGAATAGTGGTTTAAAGTAGGCTGTTTCTAGCACACCGTAGGTGGTTTGTTGCTCTGGTCATAATCAAAACAGCAAACCTATTTCCTTTATTGCTCACTGAGCTTCGCAGAACTCTCCTTCAGGCGTCTGAAAGCGCCTGAACAGAAAAAAGCAGCTGTGGTTTGTGCTTACTCTAACGTGTCCAACCATAATCTTTTATCTTTCGTCTAAATATAACCTCCCTTTATTCATTTCTAAGAACTACAGTAACACTTCTGAGATAAGTGATTCCTATTTGTCCATTTATGAGTACTCAAGTAACAGAAGCACTACTTCAACATATCTTTACTCAAGTAAAACTAAAAAGTAGCCATCCAAGAAAGCGTTAACTAGATTTTATGACGTGATTATTTAAACCAGGAGTGTCCAAAGTGTGGCTAAGGGGGACATACTTTACTTTTTTTTTTTTGTCAAAAAGTTAATCTCTCATGACATTCAAGTTGTGTTACGCTGCTCTTGACAGTTGGTGGTTACCGTAGCAACCAGTAACTGACATCTCGTCCTCGTTTTTATTTTTTCTGTGGCCGTTTGTGACTGTAATTCAGAAGCTGCTGGACCGATGTTGACCACCAACTTTATTTTCTCTCTTGCTATAGTTAGAGGTGAGCAAAGTACCCAAAAATTGTACTTAACACTTTTCAACATATTTTTACTAAAGTAAAAATAAAACATAGCCATCCAAGAAATTACTCAAGCAAGAGTAAAAAAGTATTTCATAAAAAGTCTACCCCGGTACTGAGTATCTTTTCAAATTCTCAGTCATTTAATATTTAAAAATTACATAATCAGATGGACTAAAATATAAAGTTAAGTGGACATTTTGGCATCTTAAGGATGAAAATGACAATAGTTCATATACAGTAGGTAAAAAAAGAAAAAATGAAACTAGCAAAAACTGCAGGTGTATGTCACTGTCTGGTGAATTTTTGGTTAAAACATGTTTGTTCTTCATTCAGTGAAATTGCTCACAGTGGGTAGAAAATCCAGAAATTTTATTCAAATAAGACTAGCGGTACTTTACAATAAAATTACTCAAGTACAGTGTAGTAAAATTACTCCTAAAACATTTTTTTTTTCAAAAGAGTTATTCAAGTAAATGTAAAACTCTGCTTATAAGTAGAGTAATAACAACACTCATGGCTCACCAAATTGCAAGCATAACCTGAGATTTTTCTTGATAGTTTTTGTATTCTTAGGTGTGTGTGTCCTGAACTTATTAAACTTTCTGAATGTGCAGATTGCAGATTCACGTGCCACTATCGCTGCCGTGCGCTGATTCGGCTGGACTGCAGCTGGGAGCGAGGCTCTACGGCGGACCTCACCGCTGTCGTGGAGCACACAATCGAGACCGACACGAATGTGGTGAGCCCTCTCGTGTTTCACTGCAATGTCTTTCTTAGCTTTGTTTGTGGAAGTGAGCACTGCCCACAGGCAGGACTCTAGTAGGCACTGTTTCTTCTTATTTATGGACATTATATCAGGACTTCTCTATAAGCCTCTCATATGGCAGGGCTGGATTGCTTTAAATAGACCTGCTTTACAGCCAAAAACAGGAACCATTTCTTTAGTGCAATAAAAAATATTGGTTTCCTTATTTAACCAAAGGTCGGTAAGTTTATTTATATCAACACACCGTTTTGCTTGAAAGCTGCATCTCAAGATGGTTTGCAATTAACAGCAGCAGCTCTGACAAGAGAAGTCAGATGTTTCAAATGGGAAATTTGTTACCAAAAAATTACCTTGTGCAAAAATCTGGGTCAGTGGTTTTAAACGAGAACCCAAATCTGTGGGGAAAAATCTGAGCACATTAAACTTTTTATGTGGCAATCAGTTCTAATTCTTTGTTTGCTTGAAGAGTGTTTTAGAAATTACCTGCAATGTGTGGAAACAGTTTGTCTTTTCCTGCTGAGTGCGTTTTCCACCATTACATCATCTTTTTTTCTGTCTTATGTTTTGCCCAACAGCTTTTTTTTTTCGCTCTTAGAAAACACAAAATTAGCTGCAGATATCTTTACAGAAATAAACTCATAGGTTTTAACCCATTTGTTTCCAGGTTCAGAACCACATACACTAGTAAAAGAAAGGTAAGAAAAGTAGTTGGATGAAAAGTATTGTTTATATGCTCTTTCACAGTACTAAATAATCTGTAAATAAACTAAATAAAAATAAAAACACTGACAGGCCACGCTTACTGACTTATGTAATCTATAAGTTGCATAGGTGAGGTCTGCCTTGTGTCAAGGAAGATTGTGGAAGATTTCTGGGTGCAACATAGCTCTAATTTATACTAGGAAGTCAGATGATGTGTTTCTAAACAATGCTTCTTTCTACATTTCCTTTTCCTCGCTTCAGTTTTAAACAGAAATACACAACCACCTTCTCAGCTGCTGAAAAAAATTATACAGATAAATGCAAGAAAAACCTTCCAACCTGGAATACCTTTAGTGCTATTGGTTCTGCTCAGTTCTGACACAAACTGGTGTAGAGGGGACATTATCAATCAATCGATCAGTCAATCAAGTTAATTTGTATGGCACATTTCAGCAACAAGGCAGTTCAAAGTGCTTCAGATCATAAAAAGAGTCCCAAGTTGAAGAATACAAACCACAAACTGTGATAAAAAAAATCTGAAACATGCTTCAAAATATTAAAAATAATAATAGTAATATTATTAATACTATTGATAGTAGTAGTATTAGTACTTCAGATTACATAGACTTTTTGATAAGACCAAGACCACTTATGTTAAGAGGAAATTAAATATGTTCGTACTTCTGTTTATATATTGTTTTTATTCAGTTTTGTCAGTCATTCACATATCCGCATGCTAACACATTTTTTATTATTCCTGCTGCTATCAAAGTAACATTGATTATTCAGGAAAGCAAAATGTAGTAACACCTCTTCAGTGAGCTGAGCGGCAGAGCTCAGAAACAGGTGGGGGAGGGAGAGCACTGCTCTACTTTATATTTAATGCTGCTGGGAAAAACCCAACTCAGTTTTCTCTGGCTTCTCATGAAAAGGACAAAACCCAAAAGGACAAAATGAGGAGGTGGAGAAGATTGATCTTTTCACAGATCATCTGTCTCATGTTATACTGTCACAGCATAGTGAGTTTCAACAAATAAAAACACATTTTTATAAAAGTTAAATACTGCAGCTTTAAGGGTGTTTTGGTTGAAAGTAAAGTGAGTTTTAGTTTAAAGGAAGGGTACTTTCAGATTACCTTTTCTGTTATTCTATTAATTTTATGAGGATGTGAAATTTGAAGTAGGTGCTGGAAATGAACTTCTTCTGAGAGTCCATCTGGTGATATTACGTTTTAAACAGTTTGCCGTAAAGACGGAAGAACATGTTTAATTTAGTTTGTTTCACTCGTTTCACATTGTAGACATTGAGGCAAAAGATCAGAAAAGCCTTTTGGAGTTGGCTTTCTGGCCAGTCGTGTATTTAATGTTAGAGGTTACTAGATACCAATTTAGTGATAACCGTATACAAAAAGTTATACATCCTGACCAAAGTTGCACTCATTTAAAATAATAAATCTAAATTAGGTTTCCCTGATTTTCTGAGCAGGAACTGCAACTTGACCAGACTTACAGCTGAAACTTAAACGGGAACTTTGTTGGTCTTACTTCCCTCTTCAAACGGTCCAAACTTGGTACTTGTTTTCTTGACGACACTTCTCCACTAATAGATGCAAAGCTCTGAATTTGCATCTTCGGCTCTAGCAACAAGAGCTTTTTAAAACTCAGGTTTTAAATCAAACATTCATTGACTCCCACTGTTTCTTTTCAAACAGATTTGTTTTTCATTCTTTTTAAATTTGCATTGAAGATAATAACCATGTGACAACAGCCCGGGTGTGAATTAATGGCGGAGTGCATTTTTTTAAAAATTTGGTCTAGAAAGCTCACATGCTGTCCAGGCTGTCGCCATGGTAACCCCCATCATCACATGACATTCAGGAGGTGGGAGAGGAAGAGGAGGAGGAGGAGGGGGATCCTTCCTCCTCCATGTGGGATGTTCAACCTCTGGCTTTAGATCAAACTCACATTAGTACAGAGGGAAAATGATGGTAAGTTAAACTAAATCTGAAGTAGTTGGCTAATTTAAAAAATAGACAACTACTTCTTAAGACATAGGAGGAAAATTAGTATTTGTCATATGAACTTTCAGTTATTTGGATGTGATTTTGTCTATAAAATTTGGTCAAAATAACTTATTTAATATAAAAGGCTATAAAAGCCAATCGTTTTTGCTTTTAACTGCATATATGAAATACACTTATAATCAAACAGTTGATTTATTGATTTCTTTTTAAAAGGATTTCACAAAGAGTGATATTCAGGGTGTTTCTTTTTTGTGGTAACCATATTTTATAACAAATTTTTGTTAGCTAACGGCTAATTTGAATACTGCCTAATTAGGTAAGGAAGTAAAGTCTTTACCGTTCTTGTACATTTCCATAAAGCTTACACAAGCACAGTCCTGTCCTCAGTTATAGTAACACAAGAAATGCAACAGCTGTAACAAAACTCATGAGTGGGCTTTCCTTCACAATCATTTTGAAGCTTTATTTATCTCCGTTTGCTTGTATGCAGTTTTTCCTTCCTCTAAGCCTTACCCTAGAATATTCTCAGACAGCACACCTTCTCTAGCAGTCCTTATGGAGGGTGTTAGTCATTGACATCTGGACTACCCTCAAGGCCGTAACATAATATTACTATTATATATTTTAAATTGGCCTTATGCAAAATAATTTTTTTCTGAGTAATTCTACATTTGGTTTTCAAAACCTGTGCCTAATGTCACTCAATGACTCAGTAAAATATGTCACCCTCACTTTTTGATCTTAATTACTTTAAACAAATGAGATTTAGATTATAAGGGACAGAGCTTCTTGAGGAGGTTTAGATCCTTAAGGTTTCACCACAATGTTTCATGTATTCTATATGTTTGAAGTGGAGAGTGCACTGCACCATGAGAACCAGGGACTTAAAAAGGATTAACGATCTAATAAAGCAGCCTGGTTTTGTTCTGGGGATTGCTCTAGAACCTAAGGAGATTATTGTGCAATGTTATGGACAACCCTGAGCATCCCCTATATAAGACTAATAGTCTTATATTATTCAACCGTGTTTTTCAGTCAGAGGCTTCATTAGAATCCCTGTAATACAGTCCGCTACAGGAAACCTTTCTCGTCCACAGCCATCAGCATCTTTGAAGAAAATTGTGTAATATGAGACCATATACCATCTGATCATAAAGTATTCATCTTTATGATCAGAGATAAAGTATTCCTGATTATGAAATATTTTATTTAAATTATAACCCAACTCTGTTAAGACCAGAGTTGGGTTGTAATTACTCAGTTACATTTACTTAACCATTTGGGGAAAAAAAAACTTTTAGGAGTATTGTCACTATGCTGTACTTTGTATTTTTACATGAGTAATTTTTATTATTATATATCACTACTCTAACTTGAGTAAAATTTCTGGGTACTCTACCCAAGGTGAGTAACTTCACTGATTGAAGAACAAGCTTGTTTTTAACAAAATAAAAATCACCAGTTAATCTGCAGTTTTTGTTGAAGTTTCAAAAAATTATTTGGGAAAAGTGTTTCTTTTACATGATTTTTTTTTTTTAGTAATTGTGGTATTTATATAAATAATTTTCTTTCTGATCTTTAAAACACCTAAATTTCTACATATCTTTATATTTTGGTCCGTCTGATTGTGTAATTTTTAAGCATTAAATGATTGATGTGATCATTTAATCAGTAATTAAAGCCTTTTTACCAGATACGTTTTCTTCTTCTTGGACGACTAGTTTTTACTCTTACTTCAATAAAACTGTGCAGAAGTAGGCTACTCTACCCACTTCTGGTTAAAACCAAACCAGTTTCATTATTTGCGGGTGGGGGGGACGCATGGTGGGCTCTCCGGCATTTCCGTCCAATCGGGACCCTCTCCGGCGTTTTGTGTATTTCTAAACTGGAAACCAACGGCCTGGGTGGGGCCTCGGCGGGGGCACGGAAGCGCGGCAGGTGGGGCCGAGAGCTCCACACATCCTGTTTCACACACACTGGAAACGTGGCCGGTAGTTGAGAGCTACAGAGAGGAAGAGGGAGGAGAAAAACTGGGTGAGACTGCGCGGTTTGTTGTTGGGCGTTCATACAGACGTTTTGTCGTGCGCGAGATAACCGTTGGAAGTCTTCAACAGTGACCGTTACTTAGCATCGGCTAACAACCTCTTTCGCCAGTTTTGTGTCGGTAAAACACTCAGAAGGTCGTTTAAAGTTTAGTTTTGAAAAGTGAGTTGATTATTATTATTATTATTAGCGATAAGAACCATGGCAAGCGAGGCGAGCAGCTCGGACAAGACTCCCTCCTTCGAGATGACCTGGGGCAGCTCCACCAGCAGCGGCTACTGCAGCGAGGAGGACTCGGACTCCGAATTCGAGCAGTACTTCACCGCTCGGACGTCCTTCTTCCCCAAACCCCGAAAACCCACCGTTACTAATGACGTTAAGAAGGTGAGACGAAGAGAAAAGTAAAACAGAACAATGCTTCATGAAAGTTTTTGGAAAGGAGAAGTGAGAGCAGGCCGGGTTGGGTGGTTAACTCTCGCGTTGTTTCATTTATATGTCTTCTGTTCTCATCAAATAGAGGCAAATTCATAATTTAAAAAGTTGTTGACATGGTGAGAATTTGCACAGCCTGTTCTGTTTCTACCTTTAATTATCATATGTTAGCTCCAGGGAACCCCAGCAGGCCTGATTCTTGCCAAGCAAGTTTCCTGGTTCTGGGTGGAGTTCTGCTTCCTCTATTTTCTGGTTTCAGCACTCAGAAACTTTATTCTTTTATCTAATTTTTAGTAATAAAAAAAGTTTGTAGAGCACAAAACACTAAAATTCCAGTAGGGTTTGCTTTCTTTTTCGTTATTACAATTCCAGGCCCACTGGTGCATTCTTCTTGAAATCAGCCCACATGTTATGTTCTTGTGACGCAGATTTGCTTCTCAAGTTTCCAGCCCAACACCCACCATTCATTGTCATCTGGACTCTCTGGTTTTTGGCAAATTTCACAATTCTAAGTGACTCATGAAACCTGATGGTTTTAATCAGTATCTCTATCTTTTAGTCACACGCCCGCACTGGGGTGTCCGATTCTGTCTTGATGAGAAACAGATTAAGTTTACAGTAAACATACATCGTCTTGTCTTGCGGAGGCCCCTGTTTATGTTGTTGGCACTCCTTATGCAGGCATGTGGAGGCACAACTTTATTGCATCTTCCTTAACACAGGTACATTGCAAAATGCCAGTTTCTACTGACTCACTGATTTACTGACTCATTAGGAACAACATGTTAATTCTCCATCTAGGAGTATTACTATTGATCTCCCACTTGACATTGATTTATGTGCTGCAAATTTCTTTTTAAATAAATAAATTAAGAGGTTAAATTTTGAGCAGAAATGACAATTTAGGGGTGGATTTCTAATTTTCAATTCATTGGGAAGCCAAACACTGAAACATCTGTGGGTTTTTAGTTCTAAAAGGTAGCAGCATTTGCTAACTGCGTGCACTTCAGATCAGATTAAAGGTATGCATAAAGAGGCGTAATCTTGTACTTTTCTGCAGAACATTTCTTCCTCTTTTTTATGTTATCTTCCATTTCAAAAATCAACTGAATCTACAGAACAGAAATGGATATCTGTTAGAAAAAGCCATTTTTGGTGCTTTTCTAAGTACAGATACATGGATTTAACTCTTCTGAACTCTCATCTGTAACGACTGCTCAGTAAATGTTGCATAGTGTGACTAGCAGGAATTTGTGCCTCAACACCAGGCCAAATTAGGCTGCTGGTCGTCTACTTGCCAGAGGCCAGATGTGCAGCATGACTGCAACATGACTGTAGGTGTGTAGTTTGTCGGGCAGCTGACCTAATAGGATGTGGCTTGAAACAAGGGCTAGCTTTGTCTCGTTGTGGGAGTCTGAAGTTGAGTGGGGGGGGGGGGGGGGAGAGGCTATTTTTACACGAACACCAGGCTGAGGAATGCAATGCTGTTGGTCGCAGTCGTTGCACAGCTGCAAGTTATTCCCCCTCCCTTCTTCCTCATCCTCCCTGCCAGCCTCCCTTCCTCCGCCCTTCAGCTCTCCTACGCAGAGGGATCAGAGGAGTTAAGCAGGACTAGTCAGGGCTGACATCATCATGTTTCCCTTTGCTGCGTTGTCAGGAAGTTGAGTCTGATGCAACTTGTGTGAACCCATAGGGGGAAATTCATAACATGTTAGGAAAACAACAATGATGGAGTTGCTTTAGGTTTAATAAGTTCCTCTGTCTGTGAAATCCTGTGTGAAATTAATTTACAGTCTTTTGTGTATGGATTAGAAGAATTACGTTTTCGTGTCATATTTTATACTATTTGGAAGAAAACAGACACACACACACACACACACATACATATATATATATATATATATATATATATATATAAATCTCTCATGTTTGTATTTCTGACTGCTGTATTTTTTTTCTCACTTTGAAATTTTTTTTATATGAGCAATTTTAAATACAACATCAATAAAATATGCTCAACAATAAATAAATTCATTTTTAGGTGGCAAAATTTTAGACATCTGATTTATTTATTTTGCTTTCATCATGTATAGTTTCTACTTAAAGATATTGTGATGTCTTAAAGAAACAGCGCCACCTGGTGCATCATCAATGTAACTCCTCTCTGTCCTTTCTAGGATGAACAAATCCAATGTGAGAAACAGGAGCTAACAACTGCTGAAATTCTGCAGAAAGTGAAGGAATACAACTCCCAGATCAATAGCAATCTGTTCATGAACATGGTGAGTAGTTATCTAAAACAAATTTTTAGCAGAAAGGCTTTTTTGTTGGGGTGTAATGTTTTTTTAAAATATATATATATATTTTAACAGAACAAGGATGGGTCCTACACTGGTTTTGTGAAGGTTCAATTCAAACTAGCACGCCCCGTGTCGGTCCCAGCGTCAAAAAAAGGAGTTGCTGATGCTGGAGGGAAGCGAGCCAGCGGAGTGAAGCGTCGCACCTCCTTCTACCTGCCAAAGGACGCCTCCAAGCATTTGCACATAAGCTCCCGTACTTCTGCTCGCGAGGTCATTGAGGCTCTGCTGAAGAAGTTTACTGTGGTAGACAATCCCGGCAAGTTTGCACTGTTTGAGCGCAGCGAGCGCCATGACCAAGGTAGTGTTTTTTTAAAAAGAAAAGAAAAATCTGATCCCATTTTGCTCTTTCAGAAAATAATCATTTCCATTTTGCCTCCTCCAGTTTATGTTCGCAAGCTCTCTGACGACGAGCGTCCTCTTCGTTTACGCCTGAATGCTGGACCCAACGAGAAGCTCCTCAGTTTTGTTCTCAAAGAAAATGAAACTGGTGAAGTGAATGTAAGCGAAGCATCTGCTTAAAAGAACCAAATCCAAACTTCTAATGAATCTTACAGGCATTCACATGTCCTTTCCCCGTCTTTTGCAGTGGCATGCTTTCTCTATGCCTGAGCTGAAGAACTTCCTGCTCATCCTGCAACGTGAGGAAGAGGAGCATGTCAAGCAAATCGTACAGCGATACACTTTGGCTCGCACCAAGATGCTGGAGGCGCTGTCCGGCTCGACCCCTGGCTGAAACCTCTCTGCGCACGGAGTTTGATGTGCAGCAGCCTGGCTGGTCAGCTGTGGCCGGACGCTGCTGCATTCAAAGACTCCGGAGAAAACAGCAGAAGAAAAAACACCTCTTGGTTGAACGAGAGTGTGAGATAGGGCGCAAGACTGAGAGAGTAAGAGCTAGCGCGTATGTTGGTGTGAAATGATGCGAGAGATGAGAAGTGCCTTACACCTGGAGAGTCTGATGTGCCTGAGAGAATGAGTTGAGCGGACTGAGACTGGCAGACGGGACAGTGACGTTCTGCAACGGGTGCCGTCTGATTATTCTGGACCTCAGCTGACAGATTTTATCTTAAAAAGCAATGCAGCTTCTTTTTAAATCCTGTGAAAACTTAACAGCTTTATTTTACTGTAACGGAGCCATTCCTAAAAACAAACAACTAAACTGACATGTTCTTAAAAGGATAAAATTCCCCTTTTTTTGCCCTCTGTTAATTTTTATTTCAAATGCCCTAAAAATCTTAGATTTTATCAAAATTTCTGGATTGTAATTCTTCATTTTAAAAAAAAAATCCCTTGTCTGTAGCTGAAAGGTATTTGAATTTTCATTGCATCCAAGTCTGAAGAGCTGCCATGTCCACTCCACACCCCTGATGGGTGCAACTCTTTACTTAGCGGTCACTTTGTGAGTATGACTGACGTATGGACATTTGTATGAGATTATGAATGTCAGAGAGCTGTGTCACAGGTCACGGTGCGTGACTGGATTTATGAATGACTGTTGCCATACTTGTGTTTAACTGGACGCTGCTTATCATTCCTTTTATATTTGTGTTTTTCTCTGTTAATCACTAAAATGTTTGTCTTCTGTTTTCTTCCATTTTTCCTGCACTTTTCCTGTTTTAAATGTAGCAGTCTTATGGATGTGTGGCAGATGTGCACAGCATTTAATAAAAATAACAAACTAAGCGGTGGTTTTCTTTGAGAGACAAGAATGGCTAAGACAACTCCTGAAGGGAAATGCTGATCAACAAACTAAGTAGGAATTACTTTCCTTTTTTAAAAAGTTTTTTGTCATAAGCAAATATATACTGACAGTAACAGAAGGATAATAAAGTGTAGAAAGTTTCTTTAAGATGTACTGATGGAGGTGGATGGTAATGTTTTTTGTGTATTTTAATATCAAAACAAGCAGAAGAATCAGAGGAACATTCTATCTATGAATACAGTCATCACTAGCTACAATAACTGAAGAATTTGAATTAATATAACATGAGCTTTTGACATATTTCAACATGTATCCCAATTGGAAGGGATTAAATTTGAGTAGTGATCCTTTTTTCTTGAATAAAGAAAAAATTATCATTAGTATATATAGTGATCCTTTTTGTGGATCACTATGTATACACACAATGTGTTTGTCAAACTATATCGTTCATTAATTTTACCGAAATATAAATCATAACTCCATATGCCAACATCAGTAATAACATTTTATTTAGAATCGTGTTTGGGCTATTTTACATCACTACCTTGTAATTTATGGCACTCCGTAAATAGTGAACGAATAAGAAGCCTGAACGTTGTCAAGGAGACGAATGTTCCACCTGATTGGTTAAAGGTCATTGAGTCTGACTGCAGCCTATCGCCGAGATCAGCTGATTGCTTCATCCTCACTGCTGCTAGCGGAACAGCTGGCAGTTATGAGCCCACTTGTCGATTTAACATTATATAATAAGGTAAGACTATTCATCTTAAGAGTTGTTGTGTGAGAAAGAATGGTTTTGGTGTGTCAATGGTGAAGCTTCGGTGTGAGTAATTATTTTAGCCGTCGAAGCTAATATGCGTCAGTGGTTGAAGCTAACAGTTAAGACTGTATGGACGTTTCCGTTTGTTTACTTCTTGTTAATCGTCTTTTTTTGTTGAATATATTAACCCTAGGAAAATATGCGTGTTCATTAGTTGATATAGTGAGGTATCGAGCGTAATAAATTACATTTCTAATGTTTTTGTGTGCGGCCCACTTGGTTAGCTTACAGTGAAGCTAGCATAACGATAATATGCTGAGTTTTATTAGCTTTTATATGGTACACTTTACTCCAGCGACATGTCGACCGCGGAAATACTCTAAAATTTGTGCTTTCACTTTCCATTTAATTCTGAGCGTTTTTCTTTTTACTTCATTAAAATATACAATTACCAAGGGCCACAGAATAACAGCAAGAGCAATTACAAAATATACATTTTGAAATAAAATAGCAATCCAATTTGAGTAAAGAAAGTATGACTTAATCATCATAGGAATCCGCTGTTCATATTCTGTTCCTTGCGAATAGGTGAAGCTTTGGAAAAATTGTAAAACCTGTTATACAGGTTTTACAATCCATTCATTCATTTTTGTATGTTGTGAGTTTTCACTAGCTGTAAGTCATAGTCATTAAGATATTAAACATTTACAGGGGTATTTAACTTTTGGTTGAGCTTCTAAATTAAATTACTGAAATAAAATAACTTTGGTTATATTCAAATGTATTACAAAATATATATTTTGAAATAAAATGGCAAAAATAAAGAGTCTAGTTTTTCTCTTTTTTCTTTCTTTTTTATAGAGGTTCAGAGGTTTCAGAAGATTCATAATGAGCAAATGAAAGTCACTACATGATGAGCCAATATCAACAAAGACAATTTGAATATCATTAAAACACAATAAATAATTTACTTTAGCTTAAATACTCATTTGTTGTCTCAGATTATCTCATACACACAAAGCTGTGATCACCTAAATAACATATAATTTAAAGATCTGGGTTAAACTCTGTTGAATACACAGTTAGAGGATATTTTCGGGGTAGTATTATTAGTTAGGTTAATTAAGAAAATACTAAATTCTTTTTAATAAGGTAAAACTGTTTTGGCGTAACCGTAAGTCTGAAAGTGGATAAAACTTATTCATACGTCATCAAAATTGTCTTTTGAATTAAGTGATGACACTATTAAACCGCGATTAAAGAGCAAACAAAATCTCTTTCTGTAGACCATCTTGCTATTATTCCAAAAATGTTGTTTTCACAGGAGAAATAGTTTGTATAGTTTGCTGTTTGTGAAAGTTATAATTTATGAGAACGTCACTTTGTGATCTTTTAATGAAAAGCTTGAGGACCGTCTTTAGGAAATGTGTGTGCTGGAATCTGGTTCCATGTGTTATCCTGCAGCTTGTCAGCAGCCACTAAGCAAACAGCTGCTGCTTTACACTAACCAGGCGGCCGTCGTCTGATTAGGAACGCTCTTATTCTTTGTGCTCTCTTTCACTTTCCAGCTCCTGGCCTTGCTGAGAAACTGAGAGCATCTGGCCAACCGAGCGGAGCGGAAGCGTTGACTGGAGATAAATAATGTCTTATCTCTGAGGATGGGAGGAAGTGGATCCAAAGTCAAAGGTTCCTGGCCTTTCTCAGGCAGCGGAGGGGATTCAGGGGCCGATGGAAACGAGCAATCTGTGGCCCGACTGAAAGGCTCCAGGAATGCAACACCATTTGTGTTCACAAGAAGGAGGTACAGAAAGGTTTTAGTTTTAAATAAACAATTTTTAATCCATTAAGTCATTTAAAAACCCAACATTAAAGAAAATTTGACACTTTTTTAAAATCATATCTAAAGAAATGCTTGTAAATGTCAGTATAAACTGCACTTTGAATTGCCTTGTTGCTGAAAATGTGCTATATAAATAAAATTACCTTACCTAAACCTTTTAACCAGAAGATCTCCTTGGACCTGGAAAAGGTCTAAAAGGGATTTTTAATCATCACAGTAACATCGCTTGATGCACCATTTAAACTTCGCATACAATTAAACATTAAGGTCTCTAAAAGTTCATTATATGTCTGGATTACGCCCCTCTGTATGGGTGTTTTATGAAGTAATCATTGTTGGCAACTGCAACTTCTCTATGTTAGACTGTTATAAGCTGATTGTTGTTCTGCCCTGTCTTTAAATTTTCTCTATTTTAATGGTCGACACATCAGAGGTGGTGAAACCACTATGACCCAGTAATCAAGTGGATTATTGAGCAAATCAAACAGAACCAATCTAGAGTAATAATCCTAAATCTAAATTAAAATGCCTCATTTTGATTTCGGTGTTAAAACTCTGTTTTTTCAGCTCCTTGTACTTCGATGAGGATGGGGATCTAGCCCACGAATTCTACGAAGAGACGGTGGTGACAAAAAACGGCAGGAAAAGGTCGAAGTTGAAAAGGATCCAGAAGAACCTGATTCCACAGGTGAGCGTGGACACACAGCAGCAATTACCCAGCATGTTTTCTCAGAAACTGCTCCGTTTGTTAATTGGGAAATTGTTAATCTTTCAGGGAATCGTGAAGCTCGATCACCCGTGCATTCATGTAGATTTCCCCATCGTCCTCTGTGAGGGGTGAGGAGTTTCTCAGCTCTGATCTTCTCAAAACTTCACAGCGAAACTTCTACAGTCGGACAGGATCGTGGTCAAGACTGGGAAAATGGTTCTGCTTGGGAAAACATCGAACACTCAGCCTGTATTGTTAAATTGCTCTATTTAAACTGTGGTTACAGAGAGTTCTGTTCTCTGCTCTCCTTGCTATCACTTTGCAGAAGTAGTGCCGGAAATGGTTTACAAAACAAATCATCTGACATGCAAGCCATCTTGGAGAAGTATCCACATCGTATTTCCCCTGTGAAGTTTTTTCTTCTTCTTTTGTGCTGGGAGAAACTAAAATGATGTGAAAAGGCTGTAATTGTTTCTGCCTTCGGTGAAACGCTAAACTGTGTGTGTTAAACTGTACGGTTCTTTTTACATGTTGGTTAGATCTGTGGAAGACGGATGGCAGAATAAAGGGTAGCAATAAAAGTGGATTTTTTTTTTTAAGTTCTTATGCATATGCTCATGTTCTGTATCGTCATGTCTGAGTCTGTCTTAGCTTCTGGAGCTCAGACCTGCACTAGTGAACATAATGTACTGTAAATACTTTCTTAGTTGGAAATACTTGAATAAATGTTTTAATGAACTGAGTTGTGACTCAAATCTTTGCATTAATGTCATTTTTTTTTATTTTGTAATCTATGTCTTGACAGGTTTTTATTTTTGTTTTTTCCTT